CCCCCGACCCCGCCCGAGGGCCCCCGCAGCCCCCTCCCCCCCCGCCCGGCTGCGGCCTGCGCCGTCCCCGGACCCGCTCCCCCCGCCCACCCCGAACTTCACCGCGACACCCGCACGCAGTCCTCTTGCTTGCTCCCCGCGCCCCTCGCTCGCTCGCTCGGCCCCCTCCCACAGTTGCCTGCTCTCCACCGGCTGACGGAGAAGTCGTGCAGGGGGCGGAAGGGCAGCGCAACGTCCCCAGGGGGCGAGGGCTGAACATTCCCACCCTAGCACGTGCCCAGTGCAAGTCCTCCCGGAGCACTAGGAACCCCCCCCCCCCGCCCGCCAATCGCTGTTGGGTGTCTGCCCCCTGTCCCCTGGGTTCTTTCCACCGTAGAAGCAGCCGGAAAGGGGGTAGAGGGCTGCAAGATAGGAGATCAGCACGGACAGCCGGGGGAGAGGAAGCACAAAGTTCACCGGGAGTCAGGCTTGTACACCCGTCTAGTCTGTTCCTCCCGAGCCCGCCTCCATCAGATCAAGTGAAGCACTAAGCCCCCGCATTTATCTCCCCACTCCCTGCGGTTCTTTCCCGCAGCCTCCCACTTCACTCTGACTATCCTAAGCACAGCACCCCCCCCCCCCCGTATGCCCCAGAGCTCACATTCCAAGGGAAGCCCACCTGATTTTGCTTCAAATTCTTCCCCCAGAGGAGCGATCTGAACTACACTATGCCCTGAGACAGAGGTGCAGGGCGCCTCCCTAGGCCCCGGACCCCTACAAGGAAAGGTTCGGAAGAAGGACTTGGTTCTCTTCAGCCTTCCCCTCGTCCTAGGAATTGTTCTGTCCTATTCCAAGGAAACCTGGGTTGGCTGGGGTGGGGGAGGGCTGAGTGGATGGGGGAATGTGACAAGGACCACAGATGGCCTGGGTGTTTGACCAGGTCCTGGGGAGAGACCGCCTGGATATGCAGCTCCAAACCCAGGTCTCCAGAATTTAAGTTCTGGAATGAGGTGCTCTGCAGCCCGACCTTCGGAGGATGTGTGTGTGTGTGTGTGTGTGTCTGTGTGTGTCTGTGTGTGTACTGGGGGAGAGGGTAGGAGGAAAACCCAAAAAAGATAGCTTGGAGCTTAGGGATGCCCCCCACATTTATTTTCCAAGAGGAGTCAGGGGACACAGGGTCCAATGCAAATTAGGGTCTTCCCCTCCCGCAACAGTGGGCTTCCCTTTCCCTCCCTGCAGCCAGGGATGTCCTCTAGAAGTTCTAAGCACGGACTGCTCAGAGACCCCAAGTCATGCAGAAGAGTACCTGGGTCCCACTTGACCTAGCGTCAGCCCCAGGTGGGCTTCCAGATGTTTGCCCAGGGTCTTAGGTAATCTGACTCCCAATCTGCCTGCTCAGATCTCTCTGCCCAGGGGCGGGAAGGAACCCCACAGTCTGATCACCGCCAGATCTCTCTTGCTCTCCATGGCCCCGGGGATCTAGGTGAGCCTTACTTTGATTGTGTCCCCTCTCCTGTCATCCTGAGTGGAGGCTGTATATTTCTCAACGGGGAAGTGAAGGTGTGAAATAGACTTGATTTCTGCACCTTCCCTCCAAAGATCCCTGTTCCTCCAGCCTACTCCTTCTTCATTCTTGTGCATGCTGTGACCCCTCTCCAGAAGACCCCAGTGCCACATTTTCCTGGATCGCCCTTTCTCCCCCTAGGGAGTGCTGGCCAGCAAGAGGGTTTATTTTTTGGAGGGGGATCTGGTGAAAACTCCCTCAGGAACGAGCCGTTACCAAGCCCCCACTTGCCTTGGATTTAGGGGCCCAAACCCAAGTCCCCCGCAACTCAACTCACAGCGTGTGGAGAGGAGAGGAGCCGGCAGCAGAGACCCCTGGGGGGTAGCGTCCATGCCCCTGACACCACCCCTTCCCCGGCCCCCTTGGAGGGTGGGAGCCACAGACACCGCCGTTTCTCCTAAATGTAGCGGCAGCTCTGACCAGGACTTGCTATCTGTGTCATCCGCACTTCCCAGGCTCCCCTGCTCCTCTCTTGTTTCCACAGCAACCAGTCTGGCGACAGCTCTAGAGCATCCCCTCCCCTCCTCAGTCCTGGGTACCACTAGAGGCTGAGCCACACGCCATAGCTATTTTTAGCCCAAGTCCCTCCTCCTGGACAACTCAGAGCTCGCCTCCTCACCCCCTCAGGAAAAAAAATAAAGAGAAAAGGAGAGAAAAGCCAACACGCTCTTCCCTAAGAAGCTTCTTGCTCTGAGAAAATACGGGCCCTGATGTGTTTGGGAATAAGGCCTTCAGTCTCCTGGGGATTCAAAGGGCCACCTGGGAGCTGGCAGCCCATGACCTCCAGCAGGGGCCTCTGGGTGCAGGTACTGCTCTCAGGCAGACACCATCATGTCTCCTATCTTTGAAGAGGGTGCCCTGATCCAGAAGGAGGTAGCTAGAGAGAGAAGAGATTCACCCAAGGAAGGGAGGTGGGGTCAGGGGTTCTAATCTTTGTCACTGATTTGTAATGTGACCCAAAGGATTTGTTTCGCTTCCTTGAACCACAGTTGTTCTGTTTTTCACAGGGCATGGACACGTGCAAATACCCTCTTTCAGCCTGCTTCACAGGGTGTGCAGATCAAATGAGGCAATATAAATAGAAGGGCTTTTTTTTTTTAAGAATTAAAGTCTTCTTTTTTTTTTTAGATTTTATTTATTTATTTGAGAGAGAGAATGAGAGATAGACAGCACAAGAAGGAAGAGGGTCAGAGGGAGAAGCAGACTCCCCAGACTCTCTGCCGAACAGGGAGCCTGATGCGGGACTCGATCCCGGGACTCCAGGATCATGACCTGAGCCGAAGGCAGTCGCTTAACCAACTGAGCCACCCAGGCGCCCAAATAGAAGGGCTTTAAAGTGTATTTTGTTAATAGCGAAAAGTCTAGAAACAACCCAAATGTCCTACAGAAAGAAAAACCTGGATTAGGGCTTAAAACTGTTCATCCAATGAACTTCTGTGGAGCCCAAGTGCCGGGCAATGTGCTGGGTGGGAGTGGTTACAGAAATGCCTTGGTCTCTGCCCACATGGAGCTCATGGTCCAGTGGCGGAGAAAGACGGGCAAACACATAGTGGTAGTGTTACCGCTGTTAATTCCTCGAGCAGCAGCGATGAACTAGAGGACTCATCTAACAGCCCAGGGAGGGACCCCATGAGATGGGTATGATCTTCTCCATTTATAGATGAGAAACTAAAACAGAGAAAGACGATTTGCCAAATGTCGCAGAGGCAGAGATCATAGTCAGACTCACCCATAGGTGTCCCTGCTTCACTGATGCTCTTCACAAAGCCACCGGGCCTCCGTAATGGAATAGCTGTGGTATAGGAACATAATCGGTGACTATGTTCATATATGTAAATGCGCGTGGAGGCACACTCTTGTATGGAAAAGCAGTACGTACAAATATTCTTATAAGTTGATCATAACCATAGAAATAGGTGGAGGAACATTGATAAAAATCAGAACAAAATTTGGAGAAATACAAATATTTCAATGCTCATTTTCCCCAGGGAAATAATTAAAAGCAGAGAGTGGTATACAAGTGGCAGGTGTTATTCCTAGTGCTATTATACCCAAGATATTGATCTGTTCTTCTCCAGGTTCCTTTAAACTGAATAAGAAGATAGGAGCCAGAGGAGCGGGGAGTTGTAGAAGTCGACACCGGAGGGTTAGAAGTTGCTGGAATGACCTGGTAAGGTGGAAAGGGTAGTACTGAGTAATATAATCTCAGGAGGCAGTGATCTGGGTTCAAGTCTCAACTCTGTCTGCTGTAGGAAAGACCTTATTAGGGTTCGAAGCCGACGGCCAAGAAAGAATTCTTGAGCTTTCGAGTTGGGAGGGGGTTAGGGACAGTGTAAGTCTCTAAGGAATTTTGGAAGCAAGGTTTCCAGGACCTTGAGAGGGCTAGCTATTGTTGGGAAAAGGTCATTTGTTACCATCTAATAAAACCTGAGGCACGAGACCCTTCAGATGTGTATCGGTGGACCATATGCTTGGGGGATGATTGCCAACACGTATCTTGGGGGGTTTAGAGATAAAAGAAGTTTCCAAAGGAATTCTTATACGTTAAAGTAGACTTACAGGATTGGGGGGGGGGGGGGGGGGTGGTGGCTCAGACTAGAATTGCCTTTTGCCCTTAGCAAAGTATCAACATCGAGGCAGTTGAGTCCCTAGAGGAAGGTCACTGTGTCTGTCTCAAGGGCTTGTCAGTGGGCTCTAGGTAGTAAAGAAATTTAATAATTTTTCTTCTGCCTTTGTTTCCCACATCATGTCCACTGTTAGCTGGGAGACTTTGAGCAGGTTGCTTAACCTCTCTGAACAGTTTCTTCATCCAAGAAATGAGAATAACTATATTGTCCCTCTCTTGTGGGTTGTCATGAGGCTTACATGAGGCAATGCCGGGCACACTGCAAGCACTCAGTAAATGCTAGCTAGATCTTCCTTCTCCGTGTCATCCTTAACCCAGGAGACTCCCGAGATCCCCACCCACGCTGTGCTGCGTTCCTCTGTTCTGGCACCGCCCAGTGAGACCTGCAGGGGGCACTCCTGGTACAGTGCCCTGCTGTCCCCAGCCCTCTTGCCCATGTTTCTTGTTCCAAGTGGAAATACTGAGTTTTCAGCCCGAGATTGGCATCAGGAGGGCTGTTAAAGCCCCAGTAACCATCCCCGTCTCCTGGGCCTGGCCCTGTCACCTGAGCCTTGGGACTGCTAGCCTGCCCTTCTCTGTCCTGCCAAGCAGCTACTCACGTTGGTTCTGCTGTGCCAGGAGCTTGGAGAGACGAAACCAGACCCCTGGGCAAGAGCGCATTTGCATAAAACTGGCCCCATTTCTTGAGGAGGGTGATGGGGCTGGTAGGGCCATCGAGAGGGTGCCAGCCAGCCCCCTGCCTCAGTCTGGCTGACCACCACCCCGCCCCTGATTTACCCACCCCTGCAGGTCCTGGACTTCACCCGGTCTCTAACTTCAGTTCCTTGTTTATCACTGAGCTTGAAGAGAGGGAGGGGAAAAAAAGTTATCTTAGATTCCAGGGTACAGAAAAATAGGCAAGATCCTAGCTTTTAGGTATTGTGACAGAGAAAGCAACTTTACAAGGAATTATTAGTAAAACATGTCAGTACCGTGGTCATGGTGGGAGATTGGGTTTGGAACTTGAGAATGTTGAGGGTGGGAGGGGCATGGCTGGAGCCGCGTCGGTGGTCCATAAAGAACCTTGTCACCAAGTAGCAAAAGGAGCCGGCTCTGGGCAGGTGCATTCCTTATGGCATGTAGCTTGGAGAGCAAGTGGTACTTTGGGGCAGAAATAAAAAGGGGAATCCCTCTAGTAGGCACAGCTCTGAGCCAGGGTGCAAGGATTGGCAAGCTGAATGCAGTTCAGTTCTTAACTTGCCCCCTCGGTGAGTGCCTTTGTGCAGTCCACAAACTATGCAGCTGTATGTGGGAGCCCTGGGACCAACCAATCTGGGAAGGTTTCTTTGAGCGAGATCATGAGACTTCTTGGGTGATCATGAGACTTCTTGGGTAAAATCTTGGAGGTGGGAGAGGAAGTATGATGGGAAAACAGGAGATGGTTGAGCCTTCTTCTTCTCCTTCTTCTCCTTCTCCTCCAGGGAACACTGATGTGGGACTTGATCCCAGGACCCTGGGATCATGCCCTGAGCCAAAGGCAGACGCCCGACCAACTGAGCCACCCAGGCGCCCCGATCAGAGTCTTCTCATAAACAGGTCTACCTTGCTTGATAGGACTGGGTGCAGGTTGACCAGGATTTAAAAGTCATGGCATTTAGAGGTGGTCCAGAATTAGTGCTCACTTTCCAGGTCAGGGATGGGTCTGAAGAGAACAGACAGGACTAAGACCCAGGCTTCGCAGCTCCTCGTCTCTGGTTGTTTCTTTATTCCCTGTTGCCTCCCCGCTGCCACAGTGTATTGGGTATTAATGGAATCTTTATCCATTGGACCCAGTTGGAAAGATACTAGAGGAACCACTTCGTTAAAGAACTTCTAGGAAGGATCCTTTAGTAATGTGATTGAGCATCCCCCAACGTATGTCTTGTAAAGGTGAGTTTGTGAATATTGCATTTACTGAAGGCAGAGCGTATATATACCTAAGTAACAGTCCTTTCGTGACTGGGGCACTCTAGCTCGGTCCCTCTCTTGCAGCTCTCATCTGTGGTCTGAATCATCCCGCTACGAGGTACCCACTACTCATGGAAACTGTTCAGCTAAAATGTTGCTCGGAATCCTGTAGTGAACACAGGATAGAGTCATCTCTACCCTTTCCAGAAGAAGGTCAAAGAAGACATGAGGCCAAAGTTGGAAGGAGTGAGTCCAAAAGGAGCAATTGAAAATGAGAAAGACACAATTTGCTAAGCTGACAGAAGAGGGGAGGTCTTCAGAAAGAGACGGTTCTCCTAGCTACCACTCAGAGGTGGTCCAGAACGGGTCCTCACTGCACGGGTGCGGCCTGGGTCCCAAGAGATCATCTTATGTGCTAGGCACGGACTTTGCAACCCTGGCCAATTTTTCATACTAACCTGTGCGCATGTTGACCATTCAGATTCTATTTAACCCACGTAGATTCACTCTAGTGTTACCCCGAGACAAACTTTGGAGTCAAACACATGTGGATTCCAGTTCCAAAACTAACACCTTCTAGCTATGTTACCACAGGCAAGCCACTCAGCCTCTCAGAAGCTGGCTTTCCCATCTCAGGTAATACATCTATCTTGCATCCTAAACACTCACAAATACTAATGTCCCATGCCCTTTGTCACTGGTTCCCTACTGGGCTCCTAGTGACTATTTTAGAACTTCTTTTTAATTTTCTTTTTTATACATATAAGCTCTATGCCCAACGTGGGGCTTGAACTCACGACCTGACCCCGAGATCAAGAGTCGCATGCTCTACCAACTGAGCCAGCCAGGTGCCCTTAAGACTTATTTTTTTGTAAAAAGGTTTAAAAATTAAAAACAGTCATTTGACAATGGGTACAAAGGAATATACATGGTGGATATATGTATATATGTTATAGAACATAAGAACAAAACTCCATTTAAATCACTCTTTTTTTAAGGGCGCCTGGGTGGCTCAGTTGTTAAGCGTCTGCCTTCGGCTCGGGTCATGATCCCAGGGTCCTGGGATCAAGCCCCACATCGAGCCCCACATCGAGCCCCGCATCGAGCCCCTCATCGAACCCCGCATCGAGCCCCGCATCGGGCTCCCTGCTCAGCGGGGAGTCTGCTTCTCCCTCTCCCGCTCTCCCTGCTTGTGTTCCCTCTCTCGCTGTGTCTCTGTCTGTCAAATAAATAAATAAAATCTTTAAAAATAAATAAACAAATCACTCTTTTTTAAAAAAGATTATTTACTTGAGAAAGAGAAAGTGTGGGGAGGGGGCAGAGGGAGAGCATCTCCAAGCAGACTCCCCTGAGCGTGGGGCTCCATCCCAACACCCCGAGATCATGACCTGAGCTGAAATCAAGAGTCAGACGCTTAACTGACTGAGCCACCCAGGCGCCCCTAAATCACTCTTTTTAAGTTAGAAACCTATAGTTCCATTCCAGCTTTCTGTATTTTCCACAGTCTCGTGTCCTGGCTGTTCTAGAACTTCTAAGCTCCTTCCAATTGCCCAGTCCCACCCGCACTCTGATTTTTAGCAAATGGCTCTTCTGCTACACAGGAAAGGCAAAGACCATTTGGAAGGAACTTCTCCAGAGACTTCTCCCTTACCACAAGGTTTCTCTTCTGCTCTTACCCTTGGATTCTTTCCTTCTGGTCGTCTCAGAGAAGTGCCCTAAGTGTCGAGGAGCTTGGACTGTGCCTAGTAAGCAAGAGGCACCCTGTTTGGGGTTTGATAGAAGAACACAGGGACCGACATGATGAAGACAAGCTGCCTCTTCCTTTGAGAATGGAGGAGAGGGTGAAGGGTGGGTCCAGGTCCTGGGCTGTTAGTGACCTTCCTGATTCTGGTAGTGGCCTTGAAATAGAGAGGGACATCCAAGAGAAATACAGCAAAGGGAGAGACCTGGCAGGATTTGGTGGCTTAGTTGACATGGCAAGGGATGGGGCAGAGGGAAGGGTGAAGAGGAGAGATCACTTTGTTTTTAAATCTGTTTGACCAGGAGAAACACAGAAATAAAGAAGTCACGAGGATTGCCGGGCCTGGGGAGGAAGATGATGAGTTCAGTTTGGGGCCTGTCCGGCGGACATGGAAATCCCCTGCCAGCAGCTGGACTGTGAGGCTCTAGAGAAAGCCTCAGGCTGAAGATAGAGGCTTGGTGTAACTCAGAGACGGTAGCCGGGGCGATGTCAGTGATCAAGGCTGCATATCAGACGCAGGAAGAACAAGCACACAAGAACAGAAGACTGAACCTTCCGTATTGGAGGAGGGAGCAGCTGTAGGTTCGGGCGTGCAGGGCCAGTGGTAGAGGATGAGACTGGAATGGCCCCAGGACCAGATCATGGCAGGCCTTCTGTTCCATGGAGAAGGAATTTGGATTTTCCTTCTAGACAGTGGGCAGTCACTGAAGGGTTTTACATGGGGAAGTGGCATGGTCAGATTTGTGTTTCAGAGAGATGTACGTTATTGGCGTTTACTCCTAAACATAGGACTTCATGATCTGCAGGATTATTTGAGTGGAAGAAACTGGAGGTCGGAAGACTCGTTTGAAGGCAACTGTTGGGAATCCTGGCGAGAAATGCCCGGTGTCCTGGACCACAGCCCAGTGATGTGGCAGAGAGGAAGGGGGGCAGGCCCAAGGGGCTTTACAAAGTCGATGCACTGATTAGATAAGATGAGGTGAGAGAGGATGAAGATTCTGGGATTGCTGTCTGGTTTCCCCTTCATTCAAACCCTCTGGTTCACCTCCAGATTTATCTTCCTGAAATTCTGCTATGACTTTTTCCTCTGCTCAAGAGCCTCTGTGGCCCTCCTTGGCCTCCAGGAACTCAGAGCTGACCCTGAACTGGCATATTTCTCTCTTTACTCCGGGTCTTGCCCCAACACAAACACTCTGCCTGTGGTTTCTCCCCCCCCACTCCCATGGCCTGCTACCCTCTCCCCGGGGGAGTCTATGTGCAAGGTACATTTATCCATCCTATGGCTTTTAGAGGCAGAACTAAACTAACAATGTCAAGTTTCTTTGTTTTCTTGCAAGATATATATCAGCTCAATATGGTAATACTGGTTACTGATTAGTAGTTAAGTATCTAAATATCGATGGTGAACAAAAATGGGGAAATAATTCTTTCCTTAATAAATGCCAAGGGTGGGAGACTGTGGGTAAGAACCTCTCAAAATTCGCATTCAGATACTGAAAGAAGTCCTTGGTGATGAAAAGGTTGAGAACCACCACCTGAGTTCTGTCTAGTCCAGGGGGCCAGTGTGGGCCTGTTCCCCACGCAGACTTGTACTTCTGAGTCCCCCCACCCCACCCCACCCCACCCCAGGACTTCGTGACTGCCGGTCCCTCTGCCTCAAACGCCCTCCCCACCATCTCCCAGGACCTGACTCCTCTGCACTCCTTAGGGCCCTTGTCAGAGGCCGCACATCTGCCAGGATCCCCCGTGTAGAGCGCCCTCGCCCTCTCTGCGGCCTCCAGCGCCTCTGCACCTGCGGTGCGCGCCCGGCCCCATCGGCCCTCCGGTCCCGGGACCCAGCCGGCTGCAGACGGGGGAGGCTGTTCCGCGCGCTTGGCACCCGGGACCGCACGCAGTGCTTAGGGGCGGTGATCGGCCAGGCAGTGGTGCTGAGGGATAGAGCGCCGGAGCCCCCGAGCCCAGCCCGCGCCGCCCCTTCGCGCGGCGCGTAGGGCCACCCGGCCGTCCCGAGGTCATTTCCAGCTCATTAACTCGGGCCGCCCCGCCCCGCCGCGCCCGCGCCCCGGAGCTGACACGGCCACCGCCGCCGCCTCCTCTCGCCCCTGTCATCGTGCCAGCGCAGCCCCTAACGCTTCGCCCATCGTCTCGCGTTCCGCTTGCCCCGGGAGTCTGTCTGGGTCCCGCTCTTCGGGCGCGGCTCTCTGCCCTGCGCCCCCGTCGGTCTGGGGCTCCGCGTCCTCGCCCCCTGCGCCCCGCCCGCCCGGCCCGGCCCCTCCAATCCCGGCAGCTCGGGCCTGGCGCTCCACGTCCCCATTGGCCCGGCCGCAGCCCCCCGCCCCCGCGCGCCGGCCCCCTCCGGGCCCCTCCATTCACACAAAGTTTGGCTCCGGCGCTGCGGAGGGAGGGGGCGGCCCGGCCCGGCCCAGCTCTGCCCCCGGCCGGCCCGACCCCGGCCCCGGCCCCCGGACCAGCCCTTATCTGATCCCAGCTCCGGGTTTAAGAGTCCCGGCTCTGCCCGTCGCTCGGCTCGGTTCCTCGCTCGTGCCCGCCCCGTCCGTCTGTCCGGCCGTCTGTCCCACTGCGCATCCGAGGGGCCACTCCACCCCGGACCCAAGGTAAGCCCCCTGGCCGTGATGGAGGAGTGCTGCCCCCCGGCCGGTCCCTGTCCACCTCACTCCCAGAGATATCGGGCCCCCCAGCCCTTCGGTCCCTACCGCGTCTAGCCTCAGCGGTACGAGCCTGTTCCCCAGCCTCCCACCTCGGGCGACCCCAAACGGACCCTCCTGGCAAGGACTCCCCGAGAAGGAAACTCTACCCAAGCTGGTCACCTCAGGCGCATTAGGCTGAGGAAGGGGTTTTCCTGATGCCTTTCCTAGGAGGCAGGCCTGGCATCTCATCACAGCCCTCTCAAGGAATACAGTGACCACCGCATCCGCCACACCGGCACCCTAGACAGCGCCCCCTCTTCCTAGGATCATCAGGTTACTCCCACTCCCAGGACAGCCCCGTCCCCCCTCCCCACACAGTGACACTCCCATAGTGACACCCTTTGATCACAAGTTCACACATGGGAAGAAAGACACGTAGGGCTTGGGTTAGGAAGCCCTGGGAGCCTGGTGTGCCTGGGACCCCTGCCCACCCTGCCCCTTCCCTCCACTCCCACTTGCCTGGCTCTTCCAGCTCCCCCTCCCCACCTCCTGCCCCCTGTCCCCCTAGAGCTGTGTCAGGAAGATCCCTAGGAAGAGCAGAGCAGGGCGGCTCCTACTGGAGTACAAGGCCAGGTGGAGATGACTTCCCCAACCCGCTCCTTCCCCCCGCCAGCAACTGACCAAGGGCAGCAGCCTTAGGACAGAGACAAGGGTTGGAGCTTCCTGATTTGGGGGCAGAGAGCTGAGTCCTGGGATGGGTAGAAGGGGTAGAAGGACAAAACTGGGACAAGGTGGGAGTTGGGCCTCTGGTCACTTGAGATTTCATTCCTATTACCAAAGCACCCCAGAGCGAGGCAGATGGGAAATGGGGGTGGCAGAGAAGCCAGGGTACAAATCTGGACCCAAAAGGAGGCCAAAGCTCAAAGCCTGATTATGTTGCTTATCAACACAAATTCTAGCTAAAGGTTTTTTGGCCAGTGCTACTTGGCTGTGGTGTTTGACATTTTTTCCCCACGGGGACTGCTTTAGGGGGTTCCAGGCCGGAGGAAGAAGGAGACGGAGGGCCATTTGTTTAGGGGTGCTCAGCAGGGCCTGGAGGGTGTCAAGAAATCAGCCTGAGCAGGGGCAGCGGCGGCCACTGAGTTCCACTGGGTTCCATCTCCAAACCCTCTCCCTAATCTCTAGGACTTTCTGAACAGGTTCTCACAATGGTGGGCACCATCCTGGGCCGAGGGCTAGGGTCTGCCTCCTCCTCAGGCTGTAGGCTGGGTATGGGGGGCTCCCTGTAGAAGGAAGCAGGTGTCCTGGCTCCTAGCTAGTTCCTCAGGGAGCAGGAAGTGAGGGAGGGGGAGGGACGGCATCATGCCAGGGAGAGAGGCCAGGGCTGCTCTGCGGAGGAATAGGCATGGCCCAGGCAGTGCCAACTCCCTTTTCCCCGCCCCTCTGTCCTTTGGTGGTGGTGGCGAGGGAGGGAGAGAGGGGGTGTTGGGGGGTGATCTGGGCCAGTCCAGCCTCCCCAAGCCCTTGCCAGCCTGGGTCCTGAAAGGAGCTGCTGTTTTCTGAGCTGTCCCCCCCACCCCCCACCCCCCCCAGCCGGAGCCGGAGCAGCCAACTTGTCTCAGTGGGTATCAAATGGCAATGACTCCACGGAACGGAGGGGTGGGGGGTGGGCAGGGTTATGGGCCCATTCCTTCTGTGGTTCTAATGCAGAATCCCACTGCTGCCCCCTACCCCAAGGAGAAAAAAATCCCCTCTCTTCCCAACATCTGGGCTACAGTCACTCATGTCTGCATGGGAGGGTTAGTTGGCTGCCCACTGGCATCCCCCACCTCTTCCCTGTGCCCCACGGAATGGTGTGCGGTGCCCCTCCCTGCACCTCCACGCATGAGCTCGTTTATAGCTCCAGCTTGTCTGGCTTGGGCTAGAAGGGAAGGGCCTGGCAGAAGACCCAGGGGCCTCCTTCCCCGCCATTGCGCGGTCCCAGGGCTCCCTCCTGCTCGGGCCCTGCCTGGGAGGCTGCAGTGGAGCCATGAAGAGCACAGCCTTGCAGTCAGACTTGCTGGCCTTCAGGCCTGCCTCCTTCAGTTCCCTCCCTGGGGACTGAAGAGGCTGGGACACTGGGATCTGGGTGGGCTCAGACGATGTCCTCTGGGGTCATCCTGGGCCTGGTGGGATGAGAGGTTTAGGGCCTCGGGCTGAGTCATACAGAAAGACCCACTTCCTCAGAGGAGAAAAGGCCTCTTGGGCCTCCTGGCAGGATGCTTAGTTTCTGCACATGAGGTGGAAGATAGGCTGAGCCACCTGGCATTGGTGGGGAGAGAAAGAGGCATCGGGCAATGGAGCCCCCAACTTTCCTGCCAAGGGTTATGTAGAACGGAAGGAAAAAACTTCCACTCTCCCTCCCCTTTCTGGCCTAGATTCTTCTCTTGCCTGACTGGTCAGTGCCACTGTCCAGGCTGAGGCCAAGCTGTCCGGGGTCATGGTGAGGCCCTGGAAGGGGCAGAGAGGCCACTGAGATGGAACCGCAGAAGGATGGAGAGCAGGCAGATTTGGACTCCAAGTGTTTAGTGCCCAGTAAAGGGTGGCCGGTGGGGGCGGCTCCCGGACTCTGAGCTTTGCGAGTGAGTTTGCCCCGTTCCCCCCCCCCCCCACCGTCTCTCCCACAGGCTGAGTTCAGTGCTTTTCTTCCTTCGTCCTGGTTTCACATGCATGTTGCTGCCGTGTGCGTGGCCACAGTGCATCCCCTCTTCACCTCCTCCCCCACCAGAACCTTGAAAGGGCAAAGAGAAAGGGATTGTGGGAAAAACTCTCCCGTGGGTGTCTGCCAGCGTCTGGATTTGAGGCGGTGGGGAGAAAGGAGGGGCTGGCTCTGGAATGTGAGGAGAAGTAGGAACCGACTGGTGTGGCCGGGAGAAGCAGGGGCTGAGAGCGGGACAGGAGCACCTCTGGCCTCTCAAGACCTCATGTCAAAGCGTAAGGCCATTCTGTTCTGCTTCCAGGGGCAGAAGGCCCGGGACAGGGGTGGCGCTGCAGCTGGAAGGACTTAGGTTAGGCTTCAGGAAGCACCTCCCATTAAAGGAAAGACATCCGAAATGGAGATTGGGAAAGAACAGGAGACCACCTTCTGGAGCAAAAAAAACAAATCCCTAAGCCCCCAAGCCCATCATTAAGGCTTCTGAGGGGGAGCTGGGAAGCTCCGATCAGCGATCGGCACAGGGATGACACAGCAGCTGTCGGGGGGGGGGGGGGGGGGGGGGCGGGGGGGGGTGCTCCTGGACGGCCGGCCACTCGAATGCGCGGTCCCAGGGCTCCCTCCTGCCCGGGCCCTGCCTGGGAGGCTGCAGTGGAGCCGTGAAGAGCACAGCCTTGCAGTCAGACTTGCTGGCCTTCAGGCCTGCGTCCGCCACTTTGCAGCGACCCTGGGCTCCTCGTCCTTACCATGGCGCCCACCATAGTTGGGGGTTAAAAGAGTCAGACTTCGTGAAGGGCTTGGGGTGCTTGGCACCTAGAAAGCGCGCTTGCTGTTGTGGTGCCCCCCTCTCTGACCCGACTCTGTGTGCTCTCCTGGCTCCTGGGCTTTGCCCACTCCCTTGTTCTTCTGCGGCCCAGCCGTCAAGTCCGGGCTTCGGTACCTCCACCCTCCCAGAGTTTGGGAAGGCGGGAGGATTCCTGTCTTCATTCCCACAGATGGGCTGTCGCGTGGGCTGGGTCTCCTCACCCGTGGCTCCTTTCCCTGTTTGCACCAGGCGGATGTGTTCCGTCTTTAACTGAGGTCCAAGAAGTGTGAACTGAGCTGCTGTGCTTCCTGAAAACAGTCTGTTTGCCCGTTCGGAGCAACTTCTCCCTTCCAGCCCGAACCCAGCTTCTCTGCCCCCCCCCCCCCTCTCTCCCCCCCCGCGTGCCCCGGCCTGTCCCCCTGGCATCCCCGTTCCCCCCCTCCCCGGCTTGCGTGCCCCCCCCCTCCCCCGCCCCCCCCCCCCCCCCGCCCCGGGCAGCCTGGGTGCCCACAGCAGCCTCCCTAACGGCCTCCCTGACTCCAGCCTCTCTCTCTCCTTGGCTCCCTCCCTTTACTGTTCCCTCCACTAGAACTATTACCACGAAGCACCCATTCCGTCTTGTCCCTTTCCTACCCAGACATCCCTGTTGGTTTTCACATGAAAACTCCCAATCGTGGTCTTCAAGATACTTTATAGAAGCCTTTCCTCACCCCCCTCCAGCACCCCACCTTTTGGGCCTGCCCTCTTCAGACCCTGTTCTTGGGGGGGGGTGAGTCCACCGGCAGTCCCTGAGCTACACCTCTTCTTTCCCTCCGGGCCCTCACGGGGGCCTGCCCATTCCAGGGTCCACCCCTCGCACACATCCCTGTCCCCATTTCCCCAGCTGCCCTGTCATCTTGTACCTCTTGTCCCTCAGCATTCTGCTTGTCCTTTGTCCCTGTGTCTGTTACTTTGCCCAGAGGCCCAACGCAATGGTAATGTTGGGAAGGGACGTCCTGTCTCCTTCATTACACGGGGGCTCCTCTGGGATGGGGCTGTGCCCCTGCACCCCTGCACACTTCCAACCCCCTGAAGCAAAGGCATCTCTTCCCTCCCTGGACCCCTCAGCTCCTAGGAACACAGTGCCCTCCGACCAGCTTGCCTCTAGGTAGGAAACCTTCCTGGATGCGAATTCCGGGGGGAGGACCCTGACGTTAGATGCTTATGAGTGTCTGGGAGTGGGGT